GCTCAGTGGCATTTGTGTCTCCAGGGCCCGGGGCCCCTGGTGGCCTCAGTTTCTCGTCTGCTGCTCTGTGGGTGTGACACCGGAAGAGACGGCCATTAAGTCCGCTGGGCAGGGCTGTGGAAAGGCCTCTTTTGTCAGGAAGAGAAGAGCTGCCTTGGCCAGATTTGCTCAGGGGACAGAGAGTCGGCCAGTGGACCGAAGGGTTCTGGGTTCAATTCTGGTCAAGAACATGCACCTTGGTTACAGGCTCCTCCCTGGCCCGGGACCGGGTTGGGGCTCATGCAGGAGGCAACCAATGGATGTGTTTCTCTCACATCGATGTTTCTCTCTGTCTTTCCCTCTCTCCTCCACTCTCTCTAAAAATCAATGGAATAATAACCTTGGGTGAGAATTAAAAATAAAGGAGAGAAGAGCTGGACCATCGTTTTTAACATGTGCAAACCCAAGTGAAACTGCCATTTGGAGTGGCTTTGACCATTGCCTCCAGAGAGGAAGCCTACAGGCGCCGCCTAGTGGCGGGCGGTAGACTGCACGTGTTCAGGGGGAGCCCAGGTTCCGCATGAAACGGCGCCCCCTGGTGGGGAGGACTCACAGTAGCGCTCAGTGTAAGTCTGAACCTCAGGCTGCTCCCTGCTGGGTGCCAGTCCCCCTGGGGACCTGACTGGCCACTCCTCACCCCGCGATCCATGAGAGAGGTCTGACATCTGGGAAATCAGAGCCCACAAAGGACATAAGTGAGACTAATGGGATCATAAATAGTTGAATTAATAATCCATGAGCAAATGCCAAAGCTATGAGCCATCCTGCACCCGGTAAAGAAGCCCCACAAACTCCCACTTGCGCCGATGACCGTACAGCTTGTGTGAGACCCACACGTCCCCCAAGAACAAGCAGAGCATCTACAGGAAATGGGAAGTCAGCTGCCTGACGGGGTTGGTGCGCCCCAAGGCGGCATGGACTTGAGGGTCAAGATTCTAGGCAAAGGGCAGCGACAGAGACGGGGGCGCCACTCGGCACCTTTCCCCTTCGGGCACCTCAGGCCCCAGGAGGACGAGGCGCAGGATGTTGAGAAGCCAAACAGCGGGGGGCGAGAAAAGCCACGTGGAAGGGCAGAGGTAACAGTGGCGGTGTCCACTGAGCGGGTTTACAGTCACACGTGTGATGAGTTAAAAGTGTAGGGAGATCAGCCCTGACACCTGATTAGCCACCTCCTACTGGCGGCTCCTTGAAGATCCATGGATTCTACAGCCTTTGGCGTTTGCTCTGGACCGTGTCTTAGGACAGACCTGCCTCCCCTGCAGCAGGTGCAGCCAAGCGTTTCAGTCCCACATTTCCTCAGGGAGCAGCTGCGCTGGGCCTGGCCCCTGTGGCTCCGTGGGCTGCAGCATCGTCCTCTCCGTCTCTTCAGGTGCCCAAGGGAACTTCAGGATTGAGTTCCAAGCCGCTCCGACAAGAGAATCACCTGGTGTCTGGGCAGTTTGCAAACCTTTTAGAGGTCAGGGCGGGGTTCCCTTCTCATGCCTGCTCTTCTCTCTCTCCAAACCGTACCCTGCTCCCATTTAGTCAGTATAAGAGTATGTTGAGATATTTTACATTCTATTTTTCATTAAGTTTTGAGATCCTCTAACTACAGCTCAGTTTGACGATCCCCATTGTAAGGGCTCTGCAGCCACGTGAGAACACAGCTCCTTCCGCCCGGTTTCTGGTCTTGCCACAGTCGCCCCTCTCCCAGGCGGTACATCCATGCCCCTGTGGGCTTGTCTCCCCCACAGACATCACCCTGCAGGTCCTCACAGACCTTGTCCAGTCCGCCAGAAGCCGGACCATGAGCATCCTCCATCCGTCCTTCAACATAGTCAGGTCCCTCCGAGAAGCCCTCCACAGACACCTCCCGGACAACGTCCACCAGCTCATCTCAGGCAAAATGTGCATCTCGCTGACCCGAGTGTCCGACTGGGAGAACGTCCTGGTGTCCGAGTTCCAGTCCAAAGACGATGTTGTGGACGTAAGCGGTGGCCCTGTCTGGTGCTGGCAGTGCGGGGCGGTTTTATTCTGGGAGTCACATGGAGAGGCTGGCGCAGGCCACCTGCCCGGTTTGTTACACCGACAAGCTCCTGGCCGGCCAAGACACTGTCTGCTGCCCGCACCCTGTGACATACACGCTGTGCCCTGTGGTCTGGGCCACAGCCTGGGAGACCCTGGGTGCCCAGCACAGGTTCCGTGTTGAAGGATGGCTCCCCATCCTGCAGGCTTGGCTTTGTCCACCTCCTCAGGGCCCTGTCCCTCGGTGTCCCTCCTGCACGGGATGCGTGTTCCTGCAGGAGAACAGCTTGAGGGGAGCAGCGAGAGGCGGAGCCTCTGTCCTAGGGATCCAGCCCAGAGGAGGTTGTTTGCAAGGTCACAAGACAGTGTATTTGCCCGATGCCTTCATGGGAGATCAATAGACACTTCTCTTCACACACATCTGCAGAGCAGAGCGGCTTGGCCCATAGAGCCAGCTGCATCTCAGCAGCCAGAACCATCTGTCATTGAACCTTGTTTCTGGAAATTTCTTCTATTCAGCACCTGTTCCTCCCACAGGCGTTCCTTCTGTGAGTCAGTGTTGTGCTGCTTCATGCTCTCCAGCCGGTGCTACTCCCTTGTGGTCCCTGGACCCGCGTGGGCATCACCTGGGAGCCTGGGAGACTTGCAATCTGAGGCCCCTCCTCCAAGCTGCTGCCTCGGAATCCTGGGCCGGGGCCCAGGCCAGCGGGTCAAGCATCTTGAGTCTGATCCAGTCCTTCCCAGTCAGTCATCGTGTCCACAGCTCCAGGTCCGGTCTGCGATGGCCATTGGGACTCTCGTGGGCAGCAGGGACATATACTCGGGGCTGAAATACACTTGTGTAGGTTGGTTCATCGTTCATTCAACCCATTAAATAAAGTGCCTACTGTGTGCAAAGAGCACATTCAGACCAGCTGCTCTTCTCACTCACAGAGAGAAGGCTCAGGGAGGCCCAGGAGCAGGAAGGGCCTATTGCTTTGCCTGAGGTTTCACCTCCTTTTATCTTCACAGGCCTTGATCTGTACCTCCTTCATCCCTTACTTCTGTGGCTTAATCCCTCCGACCTTCAGAGGCGTGGTAAGTCTGCTTTTATACTGTGTTTGCACAGTTCCTGCCTGCACAGTGCTGGGCGCAGGCATCTGAACACAGGGCCTTCTGTGGCTCAGCCTTGAGACAGTGATTCCATAGCTGCTGCATCTCCACCCCACCCACCCCAGCCCAACCTGCCTCACCAAGAACCCACTATCTGGCTTTCTGGAAGGTGAGCTGGTTCATGTCATCTTCAGCTGAGCACCGAGGACAGGTGCCCCGTGGCCTAGTTAAAGAATACGACACTGAAGACTCAGCCACTCCCTTAAGTAGAGCTTCGCTCTCAGGGTGGAGCGATTCAGTCCTCTCTGGGACTGACTGTCCTTCCAGCCCATGGCTTGGGGCAAAGCTGCTGACAGAGCTATGGTTCAGTTCCATCAGCAAACACTCTCTGTAGACTCATGCGGCTGATGGCGAGCCCTGCATGGGCAGAGTCTGAGTGGAGTGTGTGCTCTGCAGGCTCTGGGCCGCGTGCTGGGCTGTGCAGCGCCAGGGGCAGCTCCTTCCTGGGCAGCCACCATCCACTGGAGCTGATTGATCCCCACCCAGGACATCTGTCCTGTCTGCGGACGTTGAGGATGTCACAATGGGTCAGGGCTCCTGGCATTGGTTTGACAGGCGCAGACTGTCCAGCTTGTACCAAACCTGCCTGCACAGCCAAAAGTGTTGAAAGAGGCTCCCCAAACCTGGTCCTCCCCTGGGTCAGCTGTGGTTCTGAGAATCCCCTGCCCAGAGCCTCTGACAGAATGTGTTTTCTCTCTCCCTTACAAGCGGTACGTGGATGGAGGGTTTACTAACAGTGTACCCTGCTTTGATGACAAAACGACCATCACTGAGTCCCCGTTCCTTGGGGAGCATGACAGCTGTCCTGAGGTCAAGTCCACTAACTTCCTGTATATGGACGTGTCCAAGATGAGTCTCCACTTCTGCTTAGAGAACGTCCAGCTGATAAGGCAGATGGTGTTCCCCCCGGATGGCAAGGTGAGTGGGGCTGTTTGTTCAACTCTGTGCTCCTGGGGACCCACTAGTGTGGTTCACTACACAGACAACCCACAGCAGACCCCTCAGGGAATAGGTGCCCCACTCTGATTTTGAGAATCATCTGGGGACATTTAAACTGTGTGCTGCCCAAAGCGTAGCAGATCTACCTAATACACGGTCACAAACCCAAGCAGGCACCCTGAATGGAGAGATGAAAAAACAACCCCCAATGAAAGAACAAGAGAATTCTCCAATAGCAGAGATAAATGAAATGGAGATAAGAAATTCACTTGATATAGAGTTCAG